AAACATTATTTGACAAACACTATTTGACAAATTTAGGGAACAACATAATCTCATTCAGAACCTTCACATAATCCTGGACTGACTGCTTCTTATTTGTAAGATAGGTAAAACAGCCTTAAACTTTGACCTCTGAAATTTCACATGTAAATAGTAATATGACCTTAGGGAGATTATTGCTTAATTTGAGTCTTGGTTTCCTATTCACAATACAGGGATAATATTACTCATCTCATTAGACTGTTATAGGCTCTAAAGGACATATTATATGATTAAAGCTTTAAAAAAACACTACCACATAAATTCATTATTCCTGTTATTGCTCATCAATTTGACAAGGAACACAAAATAAGCTCATCTTTAGTTTTCTTTAAATCTCCTTTTTTCTGTTCAAATATCCATTCATTCTATTTACTAGTAAAAACTTTGTGAAATCATTTTATATTAATCCCAAGTCTTAGTTCTCAAGGAAGCATTTAAATTGTATCCTTTGCTTTTATTCTCCTGTACCTTTGTTTTTGTTTGTTTTTTTGTACCAGGAATTGAACTCGGGATCTTGTGCTTGCCAGGCAGGCACTTGTGCCACTGAGCTATATCTCTGGCCCTTCTCCTGTACCTTTGTTAAAAGACTGGTCCTCAATATCATGTAACTATGTACCTTTCTTACTTCCATTCTAGTTGGGGATCTGTAATAATCTTCATCTCTCATTTTGTAACACCCACTTCTAGTTAAAGTGATTTCTACCATGGGAAGGTAAATTCTGGAGAATAATTCCCTCTGCTTCCAGTTTCAGTACAAGTCCAGCACTAGAAATCTGAAAATTGGGAGGTTCCATAATTCAAAAGTTTTAAGTGCTGAAATGATGCCACAAGTGGAAAATTCCACTCCTGACCTCATTTGATAGATCACAGTCACAATACACTAGGAAAATTCCATAAAATTGCCTTCAAGCTATGGCTATAGGGTGATTGCTGTAATTTAGCTCTAAAACACATCCCTGCCCCCCAAGTCTCATGTGTTTAGAAGATGACTAGAACATGGGGATGATATATGCATCAATTGATTAGTCTATTGACAATTTAGTACTTCATGTGCTGTTAAGGTCTGGGGCCTGTTAAGAAGAGGCAGATCTTTGGGGGCATGACCTAGTAGGTGGTACTCTTGTCCTTGGTCTCTCCCTTCTCTCTGTTTTCAGGCTACCATGATTTGAAACCCTTTTTCCCCCCATGCACCCCTGCCATTTGGCTTCTACCTTGGAGCCAGCCAACTATGGACTAAAACTGTAAGCCAAAATGAAGTTTTCTTCATTTAAGTTGTGAGTGTTGGGTATTTTGTCCCAGCATGGAATAAAGTAACTAAGACAGTGATAATGAAACATGAATGAATTTCCTGTTGAGATTTGGGACCCATCTCCAGATGTATATGTAAATATTCCAAAATCCTAAAACATCTAAAATACTTGTTCAAAGCATTTTGGATAAAGGATACTTAACATGTAATAGTTCTCTAAGATATAGTTTGCAGATTAGCTACACATCAAATTTCCCTGTTGTGATGTATTTCATTGTAAAGTTAAATCTGCAGAATTCTCTGTCACATATGATACCTCAGGCTACTAAGATACTATAAGATAGCCCCAGCTACTAGGGATCCTGAGACAGGAGGATCATTTGAGCACAGAAGTTCAAGGTATGCCTGCGTGACACAGCAAGCCCATACCTCTATCAGTTGAAGGTAGATGAATAAGAGTATGAAGTTGGTAGGTAAATCAAAGGTCCTTTGGCCATGAAAACAATATGTTTACAAAAAATATGCATAAGCACTGTAATTTTTACCAAATTTAATTGTCTCAAATTATAGCTATTCAACTTATGATTCAAGGTAAGGTATACATAGCTAAGATCTAAGAATTAGATATTGAAGAAATCCACATAATTAAATAGTGTTTAATCATGGTTATAAACTGGGAATGGTGGTGCATGTTTATAATCCCAGCACTCCTGGAAGTGGAGGCAGTAAAATTGCAAGTTTAAACCCAACCTGAGCAATTTAGCAACTTAGTGAGACCCCCCCCAAAAAAATAAATAAATACATAAATAAATGGCTCAGGATATAGCTCAGTGGGAAGCCCCTAGGTCTAATCCCTAGTACTGTCCTCTCCCCCAAAATTCTGATTACATTTATTATCTAATACTAGATCTTCTTGAGAATTTCTACCAATTCTTCATTGGGCTCATGTTCTACACTTTTTAATAAAAGATTTCAAACATAAAAATGTATAGAATAATATGGTGAATCTCATCTTCAACAATTATTGACTCATGGCTTGTTTCATTTGTGTATATCCCATCAATGACCCTGCTTCTGTGTTACTTTAAAGCAAATCTCAGAGCTCATATCATTTCATCCTTAAAATTTTCAGCAGCATTTTTGAGAGACAAGCACTTTTCAACATAAAACCATAACCATACATAACTGCCAGGTGTGGTGGTGCATTACTTATAATCCCAGCACTCAGGAGGCTGAGGCAGAAAGATCAGCATGAGTTCAAGGCCACCTTGGGCTACACAGTGAGCTCAAGGCCAGCATGCACTGGAAAACAAACCTTGCTTCAAAAAAATCAAAAAAAACCCTTTCATCAAGTATTCAGCAAGTATTTGAATTTCTCATTGTCATTTAGTTCTTTTTTTACATTTTGAATAAGGATCTCAGTAAATTCCACACATTGATAGACTGTTTTTTACATTTGATCTTAACCAAAAGAATAAAAAGCAGTTGATTATTCTTTAAATGTCTTTTAATCTATATAGATTCCATTCTTTCTCCCCATACAGTTATTTATTAAGGGCCAGATCATTTGTTCTATAGCTTTCCAAGATCTGGATTTTGCCGACTGCCTTCTGAATATATAACAATATATCCCTGAATCCTCTGCTATGTGTGTAAACTGTTAACAGGATGTGTAAACTTGATCAAAGTTTTCTTATGGGGGTGATGTAGGGTGGGCCAAGACCATCCCATAAATAGTAGCATGGTTTTCACAAGAAAGCACATAATTTCCAGTAGTATACAGTATCTGGCTGTTTTCTTTTTGTAATGTTGGTAGATATCAGTGCTAAAAACCTCCGTATCAATTCATTCAGAGCTGCAAAATGGTGCTATTCTATCATCCCCCCCCCACTTACCAGCTATAATAAGTTCCTTTAGTGAGAAACTTCCTCTAATCTATTGTATTAGTTTTCTGAGACTGTTGTAATAAATTACCAGAAACTTGGCATAAAATAATTGAAATTTATCCTCTCATAATTCTAGAGGCCAGAAGTCCAAAATAAAGATGTTGGCAGGGTCCCACTTTCTCTAGAGGAGGATCCATTCTTTAGCTCTTCCAAATACCTGGTAGGTCTGGCATTCTTGGTGGCAGCCAGCATGCTTTGTGGGTACAGTGCTCCCATTCCTACCACTGTGCTCATACTTCCTCCTCCTCCCATTCTGTTTCTTCTTCTATATTGTGCATCTTATAAGAACACTCCAGCCAGGTGTGGTGGTACATGCCTATAATCCCAGCACTTAGGAGGCTAAGACAGGAGAAGCTCCATCAGTTTGAGGCCAACCTGGGCTACATAGTGAGTTCAAGGCCAGCCTGAACTACACAGTGAGACCCTGTGTAAAAAGAAAAAAGAACACTCATCATTGGATTTAGCTAGGATCTACTTAGGTAATCTGATAATGCAGGATGGTATCATCACATTTCCTTTAACCGAATTATACCAGGAAAGGTGATTTTTCTATATAAAGTAATATTCACATGTTCTAGGGTTAGGATATGGTCATATCTTTTTTTTGAGCAACCCCTCAACCCACTATATCTACTATTTGATACTTTGTGGTATAGCATGTAGGAAAAACTAGGTAAACGTTTGACTCTTTATTAGCCAATCTTCAAAACAATGAGTTTGTAAGCCAGGCATGGTGGCACACTCCTATAATCCTAGTACTTGGTAGGCTGAGACAGAAGGATCATGAGTTCAAGGTAAGCCTGGGCTACACAGGAAGACCTTGTCTCAAAAAACCAAAACAAACACAGTCAAACAAACAAAAAAAAAACCCAAAAAATTGGTCGTGATGATATATGACTCTAATATCAGCACTATAGTCCACTGAGGCAGAAGGACTACAAGTTCAAACCCAGCCTGGTCAATTTAACAAGGGCATATCTCAAAAAAAAAAAAGAAAAAAATTTTTGATGGTGGTGGGGCTGTAGCTCAGTGTGAAGGCTATGGATTCATGAAGGAATGGAGGGTGTGGGGAAGGAAAAGGAAAAAAAGTTGTTTCCATAGCATCCTCTAGTGAGAAATTTCAAGTTTCGTTCTTTTATTTCTTTTAAAGTTGTTTTTTAAAAGTTTCACCCTTTTAGCAGCACAATAAAGTAACGGACTTGAAGATCTGATATAGTTCAATTTGCTACAAGCTCTATCTAATTGATACTCAAGGTGGCTCAATTTGCCCGGCCAACAGGAACCTATCTCTTCATACTGGTTCCTGAATTCTTTTGAGAAGATTCTAGTAGTTTTTGATATTTTCTATTGTTGGTTGAATGGTATCACAGTAAAACAATATGCTTAAATCACACACCCCCAATACTTTAGAAAATAGTCTTATTGGAAATACACTCTTTCAAAGGCAATCAAATTAAAATGAATCATTACAGTAGGCCCTAAACCAATATGACTTGTCTTATTATAAAAAGGGAAACAGGTACAAGGACATATATGTTAGAAAGAAAATGATGTGAAGACACAAGAAGAATGTCATGTGAAGGTGAAGGTGAGACTGGATGGATGCAGTTGCAAGCCAAGAAACATCAAGGATTGCTGGCCATGGGGCAACAGGCAAGGAAGGTATGCTTACTAGTCAGGGTTCCTCAGAGGAAAGAAAAAATAGGGAATATTATTAGAATTGGTTCATGTCATTATTAACACTGAGAAATGCAATGATCAGTTACCTGTAAGCTGCAGAGCCAGGAGGCCAGTGGTGCAACTCAGTCCAAGTCCAATCCCAATTCTAAAGACCTGAAAACCTGGGGATCTTATGGTATAAGACCCGGCCCAAGCTGCAAATTGGAGTGGCGGTCAAGAGCACAAAGGAATCATGTAAGTCCAAGAACCAGGAGCACTGATGTCTGAGGACAGAAGATGGGTATTCCATGTCAGAAAGCAAATTCACTCTTACTCTGCAATTGTGTTCTTTTCAGCCTCTCAGTGGACTGGTCCACGCTGGTGAGCACAATCTTCTTTACTCAGCCTCCTGATTCAACTGCTAATTTCTTCGGGAAACACCTTCCCTGGAATCAGACATGCCAGAAATAATATTTTACCAGCTATCAAGGCATCCATTAGCCCAATCAAATCAACACATAAAATTCAGCATTACAGAAGTATTCCACCGAGTGTCAAGGAGATAGTAGATTTGCCAACACCTTGGATTCAGACTTTAGAACTGTGAAACAGTGAATTACTATTGTTTAATATAATCTAGTTTGTAGTATCTTGTTATCACAGCCCTGAGAAATGAATACATTTTCTTTGTTCCCTGTATGAAAAGTTATTTTATACTTGGTTTGTATTAGGTTGGTCAATACTTGGCAATTTTATTTGGTTTAAACTTATATTTTTCTTGTCTCATTCCTATAGTAGTACCCCAAAGAGCCTCTATTTCTTTTAGTAAAAAAAATTTTTTTTTTACTCATAATCCAGGAGCAAGAGATTCTTATGAAGCAGGATTAGTCAGTGTTTCAAAGCTTTTTCAGAAATATGCATATTTTATAAGACAAAACATTAGTGTTGGCGTTTTTGCTGTTGCTTTAAGAAAAGGAAATTTCCTGTCTTTGACTTGGAATCACGTATTTCTCAACAAAGCACTGGTCTTGAAGTACCATAATCTAGGTATCAGGTGTACTCAGGCTACTGGGTTAGTCATGTTTTTCTAGGCCTTTGAGAACTTAAGGAAAAAACTTATGAAGAAAAAAATCATACTTTCTAATTCAGAATTGTTACTTATCCTCTGTATCTTACCTGCATTTCCTTTCTCCCATGTTGACAAGAAATCAGTGTTTAATCCAGCAGACTAAATAAAGACCACTCTCACCAGTGTGGACAGGCCGCATCCAAGTCAGCAAGGCCCTATTCTCAAGAATAATTTGTATTATATAACTAGAGTATAATATAATCACTAATATTCTTTATCTCACATTTCACATAAAAAAAATAGCAAAGTAGCTGGCTGTGGTGGTGCACACCTGTAATCTTAGCTCTTGCTAGCCTGAGGCAGGAGGATTGTGAGTTTGAGGTCAGCTTGGGCTATGAAGTACTGTAAATCCTTCTCTCAAAAAAACCAATCACACACACAAAACAAAATAAAACTATACTACATATACAAATACCACCACCACCAAAGCAAATACATTTTTTGACATTTTGTTTTACCCTTCAGAATATCCTACCACTGATATATAGTCAAATTACGGATTGTTTAGTCACTTGGAATTCTTCCTCATGGAGTAACTTGATACATTAAGTTGTTTTATTTTATTTTCAGTTTAGGGAATATTTTTACAAAAGGTAATTTTCTATAAGTAAAATATTTATGTTTCCAGAGTCAGTCCTAAAAAAAAAATGTATATTGAAATAAACCTAGTTTCTTTTCCTGTTTTCTCCATACTACTCTCTCTCTACCCTTTTGGTAACTCTTTTTTTAAAATTATGGTTTATATTTCTTTTTAAAAATGTAAGCAAGTCTACTGTGCACATTTACATATTTCCTCTTTTCTTAAATGGTAGCATACAAAGAGCACTTTTTCTACTTTGCTTTTTTTACTTACTACTGTATGTAAAGATGATTACATAGTAGTCTAGAGAGATATATCTCATTCCTTCTTATGGCTGCATAGTACCGTCTTATAGGTTATTCAACCAATTGCATTATAGGAACATGGACATATAATCATCTTATATGCAATGTCTCTTTTTTTGTTTTTGGTGTTATAAGCAGTCCCACAGTGAACATGGGGCAGAGTCCTAGAATTGGTACTACTAAATCCATGGGCAAAGGCATTTAAAATTTTGGAGTTGCCCTAGTTACCTTCTTGTTTTCTGGACAAAATACCTGACAACAACAAAGGAAGAAAGGTTTATTTTAGCTCACAGTGGGTAGAGGTTGCAGTCCATAGTTGGCTGGCTCCAAGGCAGGGTGGTATAGCAGAGGAGCGTGAAGAGAAGAAACAGTCTATGGCATGGAAGTAGCACCAGCAACAAGCCTTCCTTTCCCTTTTATCCCATCCAGATTACAAGCCATTGGATGGTGCTAGCCTTTCCCTCACCCACACTTAGAACTACAATACACCAGTCAGTGGACTAATCCAGCTATTACACACCCATGAGTCAGTATCACACACAGTAGGTCAAGACATTACCAAAAGTACCACCTGGGAACACATAGGCTTTGGGAGCTTATTCTCGATATAAGATACAACAAGAGTCATATCTCCTGGTAGCATATAATTATTATATTTACATACAGTGATTATCTTGTGTGCTCATGATTTCAGGTATTAAAACTTGGGAAAATTTCTTGTGATTGATTGCTGACTATTGGCATTATCAAATGGTAGTATTCTATAAAGTGAATTTAAAAGATCTTTGCTTAGATATTAGTGTACCTGTTATACACTTACCACTGCTAATAGATTAGTGTACCTGTTCTACACTTACCCCTGCTAATAAAAACACCAAATACTTGTCAAAGCACTCTCTAATAACTTTGATATTCCCAACAGTCACAGGGTGATGGTTGTAATTCCCTGAACACAGAGACAATTAGTTACAGGAGAAGGTGACACAGGAAATTAGTGGCAGAATCAAACCTTATTCCAACAAACCTCTACACTGTTATGTTTCTAAGACAGTACAAACTGGCTTATACTTTCATTACAGAAAAGTAATTGCAAGTTGATTCCTGCTTTTACGTATTAGCAGCAGTTTCAAACTTAAAGGGAAGAAAACACTTAAAAAAGATTTTAAAAGACTTCCTCCTCACATGTATTATTGTTTCCTGTTATAATAAAATACCTGAAGCTGAGTAATGTGTAAAGAAAAGAGGTTTGTTTACCTCAATTTCACTGGGACAAAGTCCACGGTCAGGTGGCCTCATTTATTCTGCCCCTGGTGAGGGCCTCATGGCCGATGGCATAATGGCAGGTGTTCATGCCAGAGCGGATCACCTGGCAAGACAAGAAGCCAGAGACTGGCCAGTCTTGATCTCTTGTAACAATTCACTCTCGCCAGATCAACTAACTCACTCTGCCAGGCCCACTATCAAACCTTTCTGAGGACAGAACCCCCAGTGACCTAAATACCTTGCTTTAAACTGCAACTGTTAAAGGTTCCATCCTTTCTCAATACTGCCACGCCGAGGACCATGTCTCCTTCCACACATGAAACCAAGGGCGAACCCACATCAAACTGCAGCACATGCGTAGAAGTAGCTTGTGTGGTAAAAAATTCTGTCACATACCCATTGAACCTAAATATAGTACACTCAGAAATGTTTAGTTTTTCTATAAAGACCACAAAAAAGGGCAATCTGATTACTGTATAATTATTTTGTATGCTTGTGTTTTTAATTGCTTGAATGAATGCTGCAGTTCATTTTACAATAGGGATTTTTATTAGGATTGGCAGTTAAGAGGAAAGTAAGCTCTTCACTTTTATATTCTCCTAAAGGGCCCAATACTGTTGATCATATAAAGGCTGTATGATGCCTGAATATGTCCCCAAATTACCTTACTTTCTTTATTATTTCAGAAAATGGAGGGTGAAGCAAGCTCATGAGATTCTAGCTTCAGCCAATTTTCATGACCTCTGTTTTTAGACTTTTTTCTTGGCACTGTTGCTAAAAATCATTTACACAGTAAAACATTTAATTTCCTAGACATCAAGTTTTGGTGTACATAAACATTTATGCATTGATTTTTTTCTTGCTTTTGCAGTTACCCAGTGTTTAGGCAGTATATAAAATATACTTTAAAAAGGTGTTAACTTTTTATCCTCCTAAATGAAATATTTTAAAGTTAGAAAAAAAGGTGCAACACAACGGAAAGCAAGTACTATTATGTATCTGTCTGTACTTAGCTGCTACAAAACACAAATTCATAAACTTGAATTAGTATAAACATTTCATACAAAGAGCAGTTAAAATTAGAAAAGATTTAAGTTTCAGGGCACACAGAATAAAAAAGTTTAAAGACAAGTATGATGACTAAATCTAGCCTATGTAGGAATTTTCTACCTATGAATTTTTAATTTTGTAAATTAAAGGGCTGTAGCTTTCAAATATTCAGGCTCAGGTTTTTGATGCAAGATTAGAAAATACTTCTTTCTGAAACGAAGCTGGCTAGCACGCAAATATTGTGACTGACAGCACATTACAGACAGATGAGAGAACTGGAAAACCAATAAACTGTAATAGGACCCATGATAGTGTACAGATGGGAAAAGGCTTGGGTACATATTAAAGAAGTTCTTGGGCATCATGCCAATCTAAAAGGTATACAGAGAAAAAACAAAAACAAAAAAACCCCTCAGATTCTCCAGGGAGTCTCCATGTTTTAGGAAGCCAGCTTTTTTTTTTTATCCAATGACATTACAGTATTTCACAGATCAGACCCATCATAAATTCATCTCATCAGTGTCCTTATGGATTAATTCTGTAGAGAGCAAATCTCATGGATTCTCTTCCATGTACTATCTGCCATGATCTTAACTGATGGCAAAATACATGACCTGTTTTTGGAGACAGTCTCTGCGCAGTTCAGACGGGCCTTGAACTCACAGTGTAGCCCAGGCTAGCCTCCAACTCTTGGCAATTCTCCTGCCTCAGCTTCCTGAGTGCTGTGCTTACAGGCATGTGCCATCACGCCTGGCTAAAACCATGACCATTTAGGTATGAATCTCATGTGACAAGGAAGAAAAATTAAGTGGGAAGGTGAGGGAGTCCATATACAAACTGTTGTTTTTGTTGTTATTGTATATGAGGGAACAAGACATCTTCTTAAAATAACATGCAGTGAGACTTACCAAGAATGGTTAGTTTAGTATTTTTCTGGCTAATTGTCACCTGCGTATGAAATGTATCATAAATGTTGATAGAATGATAATTTCATATGCCAAGAACACTGATTTCCTGTGACTTGTATTCTTTAAGTGCTTCACAACAGGCAAGCCTGCAGGAAACTGCCAAGTAACTGTTAAGAGAATGGAGCTGAGGTCTGACATCTCAAGTTAACAGACATTCTCTACATCCATTCACAGCTCTATTTACCATTTTTTATTTTCTACCAATGGCCTCTACTTTCTCTAACCCTTTCCTTGAGGCCTGGAACGGCTGTACTTTATCTGGTGGGATGCCTTTGATAGCCCTCAAATCTATTTTTGCAGACCTGTAACTGACATTTTTCATTCCCTTTTGTGTATAGACTCCCTCAGGCGTCCAGATTATATTCTTCCCGTCAAAATTCCCAGGAACAGGGAAATGAGGCACTCGAGTTCTGCCTTCTAACCAGGATTCTCTTTTCTGCGTGAAATGTTCATATAAATGTAAGAATAGGTCGAATGCTTACTGAGTTGCACCCTAAGACAAGGACAAACTGATCTATATTTTGCAGGGGGGGGGGCATTATGAGTTGGTGGGTCAAGTTTCAGCAGTTGTTAGTCATTACCCGCTGGCCATGTGAAATTACAGTACTCCGGCGTCGTTCTGTCATAATCCAATGGTTGGTACTTTGGGGTGGGGTTAATCACCGCAAGAAATCATTTAAAGAACGCGGGAGAGTAGAGGCCGAGCCCTTGAAGCACTTAAGCCCAATCACTTCGTAGCCGGACTCTGGACACAAACAGTTCTGGCAGCTTCCAGAGTTATTAATTCTAGAATACGGGTACGGTGGGCCCGAGTCAACTTTCATTCCCCCTTTAGAAACTCGCGCACAATGCTGCGAGCCAACGGCCCATCTTCTGTAAAGGGCGCGAAAGCAGGGAAACTCGCAGCCCCAGCCCGCTCAGGTGGAGAGATGACTCCGCACTTAAAACTGTCCCGAGCCCCACCGCGCCAGGGGCCGGAAGCCGCGGCACAAGACCAGCCCTCCAGCGCAGCCATTCCTAGCGAGGCAGCCGTCACCGCCCCTTCCACTTTATGTAGCTCTTCTAGCGCGGAACTGGGTGGAAACCTCTACTAGGAGGCGGTCCTAGCTAGCTTTGTATTTGACTATCAGTGCAATTCGCGCCTTTTCCAGCGATGCTTTGCAAAACTCGCTCTCCGCAAAGGGCTGCAAGAGACTTCCGCCTGGGTACCTGCCACGTGATCACGCGAGATTTGGTGAGGCGGCTGCCGCCTCCACTACTGTACCAGTCGCTAGACTCCGCCCGCCCAGCACCCTCTACGGCGCGTGACGTCACGACTTTCGGCCGCCTCCGCCCCGGCGCGCCTGCGCACGTGGCTCTCGCGGTGTCTCGCGCTCAGCCCCACCCACCTCTGCCCCCGCCCTTTCCGCCCCTCCCTCCCCTCCGCCCTGTCTCTCGGCGGCAGCGGCGGCGGCGGCTCGCGCAGCTTGTTGGCTCGCTATATAAAGGGGAGAAGCAGGCGGACCGGACGGCTGGAGCTGCAGCCGGTGGCGGCAGCGGCGGCGCGGGGAGCGGCGACCGGTGGTTTCCCTCCTTGGCGCGGAGTGGGGAGCGGGCAACGCCCCCTGGACCCCTGAAGGGTCGCGGTTTTTTTTAAGAGGCTTCTCGAGGTTTTCGGCTCCCGGGGAGGAGTGTCCCCCTCCTCCTCCTCCTCCTCCTCCTCTCTTCGCTCCTCCCCCCTACTCCTTCAGGATCGATTTTGTTTAAATTTTTTTGCCCCAATCTTGCGGTGACTCTGGTCACCGTCCGGGTCTTTTGGTTCTTTTTTTTTCTTTCTTTCTTTTTTTGGTTTTTGTCTGATTTTCTCGGGGTTGCCCCCGTTTGGTTTGTGTTGTGTGTGGAAATGGCGAACTCGGCAAATACAAACACCGTGGTAAGGACGTGGTTCGGTGGCCGGCGGGGGCTTCGTGCAGGCGGCAGC